TGCCCAGCTAATTTTTTGTATTTTTAGTAGAGACGGGGTTTCACCATGTTGACCAGGATGGTCTCGATCTCTTGACCTCGTGATCCACCCACCTCGGCCTCCCACAGTGCTGGGATTACAGGCTTGAGCCACCGCGCCCGGCCTATTTATTTATTTTTTTAGACAGGGTTTCACTCTTTCACTCAGGTTGGAGTGCAATGATACCATCTCAGCTCACTGCAACCTCCGCCTCCCAGGCTCAAGTGACCCTCCCACCTAAGCCTCCTGAGTAGCTGGGACCACAGGCCTGTGCCACCACGCCTGGCTAATTTTTTGTATTTTTTGTAGAGATGGAGTTTCGCCATACTGCCCAGGCTGGTCTGGAACTCCTGAGCTCAAGCAATCTGCCTGCCTTGGCCTCCCAAAGTGCTGGGATTTAGGTGTGAGTCGCTGTGCCCAGCTCTCATCACTGTTTGCTAAACAATCATTTTCCCATTGATTTATGGAACACCCTTTATTATAATAAGTTGCCATGTATACATGTTTGTCTCCGAGCTCTCTATCTGTTCTATTGGTCTATTTGTTCCTGTTTTTATTTCCTACAGCTTTGTCTTAGTGTTTTGTGTTTGCTGTAAACTTGGTAAAACAAGTCACTCTTTTGCTCTTCTTTTTAAAATTGATTTAGCTATCAGTAGACCTTTATTTTGTCATATTAATTTTAGAGCATTTAACAAGTTCTTGAAACATTCCAAATGAAATATGAATTGGGAATGCATTAAAATATTATTTAAGCCTGAGCAACATAACAACAGCTTATCTCTACAAAAAATAAAAACAAAAAAAATTAGCCAGGTGTGGTAGGGCCATGCACCCGTATTTCCAGCTACTTGGGAGGCTGAGGCAGGAGAATTACTTGAGCCCAGGATATTGAGGCTATAGTGAATCATGCCACTGCACTCCAGCCTAGGCAATAGAGCAAGACCTTGTCTCAATAAAATAAAATAAAAATATATGTATGTGTCTATATACAGACACACACACACATATATATATATAATTTAATTTGGCTGGGCATGGTGGCTCACGCCTATAATCCTAGCACTTTGGGAGGCTAAGGCAGGTGGATCATGAGGTCAGGAGTTCAACACCAGCTTAGCCAACATGGTGAAACCCTGTCTCTACTCGAAATACAAAAATTAGCCAGGCTTGGTGGTGCACACCTGTAGTTCCAGCTACTCAGGCAGCTGAGGCAGGAGAATTGCTTGAACCCAGGAAGCGAAGGTTACAGTGAGCTGAGATCACACCACTGCACTCCAGCCTGGCTGACAGAGCAAGACTGTCTTAAAAAATAATAATAATAAATTGGGGAGTAATGACATCTTTGTAATTTCAAGTTATTCCAACCAAGAACTTGGACTATCTCTCCATTTATTCTGATCATCTTCTATGTCTTTTATTAGCATTTTATAGTTTTCTACATGGAAGTCTTCTGTATTCTTGGTTTACTTAACACCTTGCTACTTTTATCATTTTTTATTGCTATTGTGAAGAATATCTTTTATTATTTTAAATAATATTTTCATAGTTTTTACTGTGGTAGAGAAATGTTATTGATATTTGTAAGTCGTTCTGGTATTCAGAAACCTTGGTGAATTATTTTATTATGTCTGATGAAGAATGTCTGATTATCATTTCAACTGCTTTCATACTTACTGGTCTACTCAAATGATCTATTCCTTTTTGCCCAGTTTCTAGGAATTTAACTATTTCTTCAGATTTTTCACATTATTAAGTGTACTTATTCAAACTGTTTTCTTCGTCCTTCTCTCTCTCTCTCTTTCTCTCTCCTGCCTGCCTGCCCTCTCTTCCTTCCTTCCTTCCTTTCTTTCTCTTTCTTTCTCTCTCTCCTTCCTTCCTTCCTTCCTTCCTTCCTTCCTTCCTTCCTTCCTTCCTTCCTTCCTTCTCTTTCTTTCTTTCTTTCTTTCTTTCTTTCTTTCTTTCTTTCTTTCTTTCTTTCTTTCTTTCTTTCTTTCTTTCTTTCTTTCTTTCTTTCTTTCT